CAACATTCGTGGTTCCACAGGAGTTAGCAGGTCTCACCCAAATGAGGCCTACTTGTTAGCAGGAACTAACACGTCTAAGAAGCCAAATGGGCTAGGGATGGTGCGAAATGCCCCACTCAAGCCGAACTGCTCCAAGATTCTCCTCCTCTGCCCCAGTTGGTTGTCTTAGCCAGTGAGGCTGAGAAATTGGATCAACTAAGATCGAGAATTCACGCAGACTATAAAGATAACTTACAAAAAGGAGTGCCTTTTATTGTAGTGTATGTCATGGCGATGTAAAGAGTGAAGCATTTGATATTGATCGGTTCCGCTTTTAGGTACAGCTTGAACGACCCTTCGAAGGTCGAAGGCCTGGTCAAAAGTCTATTTTCATTCTTCTGCTTTCGCTTAGCACCATTTTAATAAATAAAACTCACATAAAAGTGCTCCATAGTTTACTATTTCCACGTTTCCAGTTGTTTCGTGTTCAAAATCTATCGATCAATATCTTTATTTCAGCGGTCCCCGAACGGTGTTTCCGGTTTGCGAGAGTCCGGCCGACAGTTCTGCACTGGAACTTGACCGTAACACTCATTCGCTGGCCATGCAGTACCAGAATCGAAGTAGTGGATCGTTACCACGACGAGCAGGTCATGGCAGTGCTTCGCAGTCTTTACAAGGGTTAGTACTTCTATTCTCCAGGCCTTCAAAGGCACAATTACGATTATCCGGTGGGTACATTCTATGGGTGGGGTTCGGCTTGGTGGGGGCATTTTGCTGGTTCCCATTGATCTCTGCCGGTCCTTCCTGTTGAGATCTGTAAGTTCCTGTGAAGCTATGCAGTAGCAGTAGCTTTGTTTACAATTGACACGAATTTACAGGTTCCCTTCAGGGTGAAACGCGTACTGCAACAGAACCTAGCAAAGAAAGCAGCGAAAATGCAAAATGCCCTTCCCAAGCCACAGCGCCCACTCTCGATAATGACAGGGTAGCAATAGTTCCGCGTTGGTACCACTTTTGCGCGAAAGTGCGTGGTGAGGACGCCAAGGACGTGTGATTTATGGGTGTAATTCAGGACAATTTGTGGCGCAGGATCGCTCTCAAAAATAATAGAGTAGTTTAGCTTGTCGGTGTTTGTCACAGCAGCATTGCCCCGGTGGGCGCTTTGGTGCGAAATTGTCGCGCAACGTGGCCATTCGAGGAGACACCACCATCACTTCACCTCAACCCAAGACCACGTTCGTCCCCGTCCCAGAGCCTCTTTCACCGCCCTTGAATGTGTACCGCGCTTAATGATATCTCCACCAACACGTCCCACGTGGGGGATTTTCAGCGAGAGGAGGAAGGGGCTTATCTGGGCACGTGATAGAGGGGGTGGTGTTTGGCCTGAGAAATTTTCTTAGACAGCTGATCTATCCTCTATCACGCGCGTTATCCCCAACGTTGGGAGACTCCTATCAGAGGGGGGGAGGTCGTGCTTCGGGGCTAAGGCTGGCGGGCGGGGGGGGGGTGTATATAGCTTCATAGCCCTATGGGATTTTTTCCGTGCGCGGGAAATTTTTTCCGTTGTAATTTTTTGCTACTATTCCCGTTTCCCATGTGCTGTGTATTTCCCTCCCCCTCCACCCCCGGTCCGCGGCAGATTTTTGGGGATGAGTTGGAGCGACAGGACGTGCCTTGGTTTCCACCCTCCGAATCATAGGCGCTCTGCAGAAGCGAAGTCTGAAGGGCAGCGCTCCCATTCTGTTCTGCGTATTCTACCTGTTTTGCTGTCTGATATCTCTTTCGGGCGCACACTGTTTCTTCGCTGGGTGCTGGCTGTTTCTTAAAACCAGGAGGGCGCTTATAACTTTGATGGGCTACTGAAAGGACACCTTATGCAAGCTTGCTTAGAATCATCGTGATGGCATGAGGACGTTTGCAGAGCCCTGAAGAGAGAGAGGGGGGAGGAGCTCCAAGATGGGAGAACTAATCCACGGTACTGTGATTCTATCGTTGAAATTGTTCCAACGTACCTCGAACTTGAGCAATTAAATCGGCTTACGGTATGCCCAAGTTTGTTTCCGGGACCTACACATTGAATTTTACGAGCAGTTTTTGTGGTTACTGTATACTGCCTGTCTTCCTAAATTTATGGTCTTGTTCACACACAGAGTACTCTCACTGAGGTTATTATCGCCAAGGAGGGTGTTATAGACTTTCGAGCGGAATCTTCTGGCTTGTTTTCCCTATTGCGAGCCAAAGAGAACGTGTAGGCATCAGGCGCAAATTGCGATTTTAATGGGCCACATTCTTTTTCCGTGCAATCTACCTGTAACTGTTAGTGCCACGGGCAGATTGCCCGCATACTACTACCAGTAACTGCCATCGATTCCTATAGAGCGCTGAGGGTAACCGGTTTCGTGTGCGCTAGTCGTTAGCTGACGATTAACCACGATCATTTTCTACCTGAGAATTCTCTATAGTCGTTTCAGCAGGTTCTATGGTATTGTGGATTCCGCATAGGATTTTTTTTTCTTGTGAATGGGAAATTTTTGAGATATTTTGGGTTTCACGGGACAAGTGCGACAACATGAGGACAGGGAATGGCTCGGAATTCCACGTGCGGGGATCTTCCTCAAGTCGCTGGGAAGGTCTGCCATTTCGTCGAGAGGCGGCAGTCTTTTGGGGAGGGGTTTTCTCCCCATCTCTTGATTTTTCTATGAGACTCCCTACCCTTTCTAGGAAGTTAGAGGTAGCTGTAGGTAACAATGCAGCTGAAAATACGCTACGCGAAATGGGCCTATTGTTGAGAGAGGAGGGCGGCGGGTAATTTCGCGGAACGGCAGAGATGGAAGGGACTCTGAAGAACGGCCGCATTCCCTTATCGCTATGGAGCGACGCGATTTCATTTGGGAACGGATAGCCCGGTGCTTCATGCACTTCATGACTCAGACGGGGCCGCAGAAGAATGTCCTCCGGAGTCTGTGGAGGGTTTTGGGATACGCCATGCAATCGTCTTCAAATTTTAATTGCGGAATATGCCTACGTAATGATTCTTCTCTCACCTGGAAGAGCACGATTGTCCCCCCCCCCTCCTAAAAAAACCTTCATTGGTGTAGCTCGCTGAATTTGGGTTCTGCCCGAAATCAGCGCGGAGCAGTCTTGCAGGTCTTCTAGGTTCTTGCAGGTTCTTCCACCTCCGCTGCATTAATGAGAAACCTCGGGGATAATTCTGCAGAGATTGCCGACATAAGTAATTTATTTCTTGAGCAAAGAGAAAGGTAGCAGGAACCGGTAGGCTGTGTTTTCGTGCGTGTTTTTCATCATTTGACCTTAGAAAGCCGCCTTTTGCCATTGAGCGCTTGCGCCGTATTCGCTGCAATGTTTTGTCGGCCATCTCAGCCCCCGTCAATTGCTTTTCCATCCAATTGACGCGTTCTGTTCTCAATAGGCGGTTTCATGCTTTGTTACGATGGCTGACTGCTATAACATCTCGTCCGGTTTTCCAGCCCTTCCTATCAGCTCAAAGATACTGTACGATCAGATTTCAGAATGCGCTCGACCAGTGAGAATGCTGGCTCCCGAGATTTGTCCCAATCGTCTGTGACGGCATCGTCTCTGACCGCTTCAACACAGATTCAGCCCAAAACCCAGACGTTACCGGCCGGATTTTCTCCCAGTACACAGATCCAGGTGAGATTTTATTTATTTTGTAATGATGGCAGAAAAAGGGCTCCAGTCCAGTATAGGTAAGCATTTGGGTGCAATAGTTCGTCGTATTACGGTAATCCCATTCGTCAAGGTGTTTTTCAAAAACTCCAAACGTTACGGGCTTGATTCCCGTTCACTCTCAAGAAAAATAAGGTGCATGATGTGATTACCCGGGGATACGAGAAGACTGTGGACCAACGAATTAGGGAAACGAGTTCAAGGGTCTGT